TATTAAACAAACTTCACTCATCTGGAATTGCATTCACAATTCTGTATGCAGATAATTTGACTTTATTGTTTTCTGATTCCACTGAAGAACAATTAAAAAATAAAATTGATGTCAATTAAAATATTTTCGGAATGGGCTAGTAATCTCTCATTAACATTTAATATTACAAAAACTAATTACTTTGAATAGGGATAATTTCCTGAGCGTAGCATAATTTTATATAAATAAAAATTTCCTTGGTTTATTCAGTCATGTTTTTATTCATACACCTTCACACGCTGAAAGAGAAAGATAGGGTTTCTGTTATTTAAAAAAAAAATTAAACTGTTTCCATACATACCAAAATTCTAAAATACCTTGTCTAGATATACAGGGTAGCTGTTAAAGATGGAACCAAACCTATAGTGCTTAAACGGTTCAACATACAAAACCCAAAATTTCTTCTTTTGTCAAATGCACAGCCTCCTACGCTCACTATTAATAATATCTTTTCTGTTGTGTTTAGACCCCATGTGTGATACATTTTTGTAATCAGGGTGTTAAACCCTTTCAAATGGTATATCACATGACCTATGTTGCTATTTAAAAAAATCAAGATGGCGGCCGTGCTTAAAATTTTGTAATTATAAAAAAATAATTTTTAGGCTAAAATATGAGCAAATATATTTAGTTGAAATTCTGAAATTTTGGGTTTTGTATGTTGAACCGTTTAAGCACTATAGGTTTGGTTCCATCTTTAACAGCTACCCTGTATATGTAAACAACACACATATACATACAAATGATTCCACAAAATTAATAGGAATATCATTTGATGAAAATTTATCGTTTAAAATTCACTGTCAAAATTTAGTGACAAAATTAAATTCACAATATTTTCAACTTCGTAACCTTAAATTCATTTTAAAACCTCACCATCTTCGTCAAATTTACTTTGAAAATGTACATCCAAGGTTGATTTATGGTATCTGTGTCTAGGACAGATCATCCCATGCTAATGAAGTATTTATACCTCAGAAGAGATTTATAAGATTTTTGGCTGGTATTCTACCAACAGATTCTTGTCGCTCACTATTTAAAAAACTTAAAATCCTTACAGTATTGGGAGTATATATTTTAGAACTTTTAATGTACATATCTATATAAAAACAAATCAAATTTTAAACGTAACAGTGACTTTCATTCATACAGCACCAGGAACAAAGATAAACTTGTTTCCCTGTTTGCACATCTAAATATCTGTGCTAAGTCACCAACAATACTTAGAATAAACTGGTCTGGATAATAAATTTATATAAATGTCTATTTTCGCATTTGATTGTTTTTCTCTTCTGTTTGTATTGTTTTATTTAACTAGTTTTATCTATTGCATACATATGTATCTTTATATTTATAATTCTGACATGTTCAACAACATTATAATTGTTTAAATGAATTAATAGAGAATTTAATTCCTGATGAAATCAATCTTTATGTTGAAAAAAAAAATGAAAAATAAAAAATATGTAGGAACTATTGTTGTTTATTTTAAATACATTTTATTTATTATAATATAACCCTTATGGTTAGGCAATCCATTAATTTTTCAGCTGTTTATTTTGAACCATCAGGGTTCAGAAAAAATTGTAAATATGTATCATAATTATTAGATGCACATAAAATATTAGAAAATAGTACAAAATAAATAAAGAAAGAAAAGATTTATGGAGTTATATTATGATAAATAAAATTTATTTAAAATAAAAAATTTGGCTCTTTTCAAGATTGATAGTTCCTCAAACTTTATAATAAATTAAATTTTGTTAAAGGTGTTTTATTAATGTGTGAAAAAACAATGGTTGGTAAGATCCTATTTGGAAATATTTCAAAGTGCAATGAACATTACAAGCTATGATTAGCCACATGTAAACATACAAATGTTCATGAAGAGATAAATACAAACGCAACCACATGGGACAAAAAAAAACGAAAAAAACAAAAATAAAACAAAAAAAAAACAAAAACTGAATTATCTACTGAGTGTTCAAATAAATAATAAGTTTCCTATGTACCAGGTGTCCAAATAAGAAAGTGGCTGTCGACGCAGTAGGATACAGCCTGTGTCATATAATTTTGGGAAATACATTTTAAATAGAAAAGTGGTCAAGAAGAATCACTGTGTCCAACTCCTTCTAAATCTAATCTAACTTTAACACTAGATGGCAAAATGGGATCTTGGGGTGATTGTTTACAGTAAGATGGACTTTAGAAAGCATTATTAATATATTCAAAATAGAGGATTTATAATGATAGGAGTTATTCGTAGGCATACAAATGAATTCACCAACTTGAATACTTTAAAATATTTATATCTTACCCTAGTTCGACCAATTCTTGAATATGCAGCAGTTGTTTGGTGTCCAATGTATCAAAACCATATAACAGCCTTAGAAAGAGTGCAAAATCGATTTTTAAAATATATTTCTTCTAAATTACATATCCCATCAGAATATTTTTCAGCTTCACAAATAAGACAACGTATGTAAATTCAAGAATTGGGCAAACAAAGATATATATAAGACCCTTAATAATTTCATCAAATGTCCTGAATTACTGTCTATGATTTATTTTCGAGTACCACCCCGTAATTTGAGAAACACAGAATTATTTGCCATCCCTTCTTACAAAACTAATTATGTAAGATTCTCTCCAATTTGCCACTTAATGGAAAATGGAAACAAAAATTATGTGGATTTCTTTAATACGTCCCTATATTCCATTAAATGTAAAATGCAGTCAGCATTTATATTTTATGAGAAACTCTTGGCCTATGTTTCAGACTATGCAAAAATGTTTGTATTTGTTTTTATTAAAAATAATAAAAAGTTCCAAATGTATCTGCCATCTTAAGTAGTAGTATAAGTAAGTATAAGCTGCTATTGAAGATAATGCCTAAACCTGAAATTTCAGACACACTTTCCAATATCCAATCCATTTATTAAAATGAATAGACGAATTTTATTTAGAACATCTTATTTTATTATGTCAGGAAATAAGATTTAATATTATCCTGTAGAAAAGTCCATTATGTTTGTGTTGCATTATTGTAAGTAATTAAATCATTGCCATAAAACATACCTACTTTGCAATATTCAATATAATCAGACAAATGTTAAAAAATAGAAATAGTATCCCTAGAATTGAAGGTACATTACCGATGTAATAAAATTAATTAATAATTTTTTAACTGACAATGAATAACCAAATATTCACAAAGGGATGTAACTTCATGGGAATATAATGAATTATTCTATCAAAAACTGATTTATAATTAGCAAATTCATGTGATTGGTTAATAAAAACACATGATAACATTTTGTTATTAAGAATTTACTAATTTATTTTAGATGTAATTGACCTGAAATTTTCAATATGGCTTTTGTTTTCTGATTTACACACTGGACTGGAACTAAAGGACCAGGTTTACATTTATTTTGAAAAATGGTTTCAAATGAACTGGCAAAGTCTCATGAAGATACACAGGATTGAGTACCATTGTTGCACTTGGTTTAAGTGATTGTATCACAGTTTGCTGTTTTCTAAGAAAACAAAGGACTTATTAAGACAACACTCTATATTTTATACATGGATAAAGCATTTTCATAAAAAAATTAAATGTGAACACAAGTTTGATATTTTTCCAAATTAAATCTCAAAAGCTTTTAGTATTAGCAGATAGGAGACTCTCGCGTATTTATGAGTAATATTCAATGATTTGACTTCAGCTCTTAAATGCCAAAATCGAAAATTGGTAGCAAATTTTAATTTTTGGGAACGCAATGACCAAAAATTTGATAAGAGGGTATCATGAACTACATGCACAGTTTTATTGATATTGTTAAGAGGTAATGTTCTGAGTCATATCTAATAGCATATATATAAAAATAATTTCATTAAAGTCGCAGAATCCATATCACAACTTGTTGCTGTCAACGAGGGGCCCACCTGAATTAATTTTATCAAAATTTATAATACGATAACTTATAACTCAATTATAAAGGTATAAAATTATAGATTGACATTCATAATGCGTTTATTACAACGATATTTCACGGCTGCATGCATATGAAACGCAATAATTGATCATTTTGACTGAACAAAAACGTTGAACGGGATACACAAATGGTGGAAATGAAAACTACACTTACCGGGTGAAACTGTTTTTTCTAGTATTTGGATTAGTTGTAAGGTTTCCTGGTTCATTTTTTAACTTTTCTAAGTCTTCTGAAAGAAATTATTCTTCTATGTATGCTCTATAAAATTAACCGGCTTCACAAAACGGTTCTCACCACATGTAATTTTAGAGCAGATAGGTACTAGACAAATTTACAGCTTTCTGTCAAAAACTTTGTCAACTGTCACTTGCAATAATTATTTTAATTTAAATTATTGGATATTGTATCTACGTACTGAAAAGTATTAATATACAAACCGAATTTAAAAATACTACCGCTTTTAATAATTAATCCACAATAAATTATTCACTTCAATAAAAAGACAAAATTTCAAAAGCGGGAAGATGAAGATTATGACAAATTACGTCACGAAATGCAGTGCGTTTTGTTTTCAAAGGACAGGTAGATTTGAGACTTTTCAAAAGAAACAGTTTTATTTTATTTATTTATAAACAATTTATTAAAATTATTTTACATTGTATTTTCTGCCACACCCCCTTTATTTTTAACGAAACAAAAACTCTCTTTGTTTATAAAATGATTGGGACAGTAATAGATATATATTATTTTAATAATGCCTATCTCTTTTCATAAAGTTAATCAGAGTGAAATATAAGTGAGGGTAAATTTAAAATGTTATCTCTGTCTCGCAACGTAAATCTGGGTTTAGCTTCTTTATTCTAATCCATTATTTGTAAGATTGAACTGAGAAAATCACTGTCCTCTAACAAAACATGTAATCAGCACTTGAAATCTTGAAAATGTCAAAATTGTTTATTTTTTATTGTCAAAATCGAGTAGTCAAAATAGACAAATGTCAATAAATGAAATATAAATAAAATTTATCAATTCGCGATGATACTGGAAAAATAATTTCATGTATTTAAATAATGCAAATTCTCCTAACATGTTAATTCATCAGTTAATTACGTTCTAAGAAAATGTAACAGTTAAACAACAAGATAGTGTATTTAATAAAAATATATTACTAAATAAATATTGTTTATATTAACAATTTAAAATTCATAATATGTGATATCTTAACGGTCATGTTTATTATAGCAAGATCATGGAATTGCTCATTTCAAAAAAAATTATTTTATCTTTACTTTTGCTAGCGACCATATCGCTATACGTTTCTTTTGTATTTAATTCATGTGTAATATCTAGTCTATCCAAAGCAATACCTAAAGTAAGTGGTAAATAGTAAAGTATATTTTTGTTTTCTACTTTTATAATATTCTTAATTAAAAAGTGGCTGTAAAAGTCGCCTATTTATTTGAGTGCTTAATTTTAGTGGCAAAACCATCCAGTAATTGTAAATGAAATACCATTAGTTCATTATACAGCATCTGTTCGAGTAGTGTCACTAATAGAAGAAAATGAAACTGACATATCTCCAAAATACAAATTTTTTAGAGAACAGGGTTTAAGACCAGAGAGACAGTTACCAAGTGCTTTAATAATTGGTAAATAAAATAATGTCTATGCATTTTAATCAAACTTTTTAATTTTCCAATATTCATTGTTTTCTTAAGTAGTTTTAATAGTAATCGAGTGTTCACTCTTATTTTCTATAATAGTACCTTTATGTTATAAATAAAAATGTATTCTTCACTCATTATCTTCCATGACTATTTCTGTTTTGTTTTTCACTATTTTCTAGGTGTCAAAAAAGGTGGAACTAGAGCTCTTTTAGAATTCATCAGAATTCATCCAGATGTACGAGCAGCAGGTAGCGAAGTCCATTTTTTTGACAAAAACTACATGCGGGGTTTTCAATGGTACCGCTCTCATATGCCTGCCACCCTAGAAGGTCAACTTACCATTGAAAAAACCCCATCTTATTTTATAACCAGGGAAGCTCCCCATAGAGTACATCTTATGAATCCCTCCACTAAGTTACTCATAGTTGTAAGAGACCCTGTCACCAGGGCTATATCTGATTATGCTCAAGCTATCTCCAAGAAAGTTGATATGAAGCCATTTGAACAGCTAGTTTTTGTTAATGGGTCAATTGGTAGTATTGTTGACACTTCATGGGGACCTATTAAATTGGGAATTTACTCGAGGTAAGTAATCTCATGTAAACAAAAACACTTTTTTATTCTTGATATCTCAGAAAATTTTATTCTCGACTTACAACCCAATATATACTTTTTTATTTATTTATCAAGGAGCAATTGCCCAATTAAAATACAAGTTTAATAAAAGGGAAAATTTAAAACCTAACCTACACTTAGAGATTATTGAAACAAAGAAACACACATTACCATAAAATTAACATAAACAAGAAAAAATTAAATATTAAAAAAAACAAACAAGATAACAATTGTAAATAAGTTAAATTATCTAGACATCAAAATATCACATGCATGATTTAAGCTGGGGCTTAAAGACTTTTTTATTATCAAAGCAGTCCAATCTATCAGAATATTGATTAGCAAATCTACCCGATCTTGATAGAAAAGAATTATGTCCATAGTCTGATGTTGTCTAATATTAAAGGGCTGAATAAGCCTTGTTTGTCTAGAAGGAACATTAATATTGATTTTTCCCAATAACTCTGGACTAAAGGTGTATGAGTGTAGTATATTGTAGAATGTGGTAAGATCCTTGTGAATGCTTCTGATCTGAAGAGTGGCAATATTAAGGGAACTCTCAATATTTGAGTAATTAATATCCTGGACTCCCATGGTGGTCCTTAAATGAAATAAATCTTAAAAATGTATGCTGAACTCTTTCAATGGCTTGAATATGAACATTGTAGTGAGAGGACCAGACACATGAACAGTAATCTACATGGGGCCTCACAAGTGAACAAAACAATATTTTAATGGATGATACCCCTAAAAAATTCTTAGCGCAACGTTTTATAAAGCCTAGCATTTGAAGTGATTTTGAGACTGCCATTGATATATGGGGTACATAAGATAAGTTGGAATCGAGGACTACACCCAAATCTTTAACTTGAGATACTGATTCCAAAGGGCAACCATTAATATTGTAGATTATTTGTTCTGTGGGACTTCTGTTATAACTGAAGACCATTTGATGGCACTTTTTAACATTAAGTTCCATTCCATTCATTTCACTCCAGTTGCTGAGACGATCTAAATCAGCTTGCAGTGTTATGTAATCAGATTCGTTCTTTATTCTCATATATAATTTTAAATCATCTGCAAACGTTAGGAATAGGGCAAAGACAAAACAGGATGCAATATTATTCACATATAAATTAAATAGAAGAGGGCCCAAGTGTGAACCTTGAGGTACACCTGATGATACTTTAATTCCTAATGATTGGAAGCCCTGAATACTCACTATCTGTCAGTAAGGTAAGAAGATAGCCATTCAAGCAGTTCCCCCTGAATTCCCAAACTCTGCATCTTATTAATTAAAACTTTATGGTTAACCCTATCGAAGGCTTTTTTAAAATCTGTATACACATCATGTACTTGATAACCGTCATCTAGGGATTCCAATAGATAGTCTGTAAATGTTAAAAGGTTAAGCTCTGCTGAATGATGAGAAATAAATCCAAACTGTTGATTAATAAAACAGCTTACATACAGCTTCATACATATTTTGTAACATATATACAAAGAGGTCAAAAAATATTAATCAGTACCCTTATTTTTAAAAACAAAATTTACTTGAAAAACTTTTTTGAATTAATATTTGTGAGAAAATATGCATCAAAATATGACAAATTGATTTAATGTATGCCTAGGTATGTGAAGAAAATAAACGTTTAAATCTCACAGATAGCTATTTTGTGTTTAAACAAAACTATTAACTATGTGGGATTCAAACAAAGGACTTTTCTTTTCATCACCTATAAATTACTGTAAACTTACACTATCTCCAGAACCAAATTTATTTAAGCACACATGCCCTTTTTATATACGTTAAAAAAATCAGAATCTTGTGTTTTCTTCTGCAGAATTTTTACGTCACTGTATGAATATAAGAATTTATTGAATTAACAGAATTATAAGACAATTATTGTTACAAATAAGATAGTATAAATAGGGTGGACCAATCTTGTGGAAAAGTTCAATATCTTCCTTATTGAAAGAGATATTAAAAAAGTGTATTAAGAAAATTATGGACATGTTTGAGGTTAACATTTTAAAATTATTGGGAGGTATACAGGGTGTTGCATAGCTCGTGTACGAACCAAACATGTTTTTTTAATGATAACCCCAGTATATTATTTTAGATTCTGTTTACTCATCTTTTTTCCATTCTTTCTGGTTTGTCTATGTTATATAGGGTACTTTTCAAGGAATTGACATTTTTGTGAGAGAATCGTACATAATTCAACGTCCAGCAGCCAATTACACACTGTAGAAAAAAAATTTTTTACCCACACGAATTTTATAATATGATGCATTATACTTTTTTTTAGTTATATTTTTATTATCTGTTTATTTGTATACAGGGAGACTCAATACTCAGACCCTTGATTTTCTTGTTTTATTTAAATGGGACACCCTATATTTTATATCACCAGTAAAATCATCTGTTCCAAGTCTTTCATTTTTATAAAGCATTCCCTATACCTAAAGTTAATATTTATCGATATTTTTTAACAATAAATGAAAATTATGGTTATTTCGATAAATTAAACTAGTTTTTCATAAAATACGTACTCTATATAAACAATAATAAATAATATGTGTTATTTTTTATCTAGTCGCCAATGCATTTAATATACCTGTCACCGTCCAGTTGAAAATTTTGACATTTTAAAAATCAAGAGCAACTGCCTGTGTGTTAATGTTTTAAGTAAATTACTAATAATAAGATGAGCAATACAAATTTTTCTATCCCAGACATGGTGGATATGATTTATATACTAGGTGAGTGCAACAAGAATTCTTTACTTGCCTCCAGAGTGTACCTCCAACGATATCCGGAACGCCGGAAACCAAATAAAAAGGCGTTTGAAAAACTAAAGGACCGTTTTAATCGTACTGCTTCTGTATCATACGAGTAAAAACAAGTAACAAAAACTGCTATCACGGAAGAGAATGAAATGAAAGTATTGTTGAGTATGTATGATGATCTGCATATTAGTAAACGAAATATTTCAAGACAACAACAAGTCAGTTATGGAACTGTTCAAAGAATCCTATCAAAACATAAAATGCATCCTTTCCATATCCAGTTACATCAAGAACTTCTTGAACGGGATTTTGAAAATAGAGTGATATTTTGTGAATGGTCCCAACAAAAAATTAACAAAGAAATTTCTTTGATTTTGTGCTCTTTGGTGATGAATCGACTTTTCATAAAAATGGAGGTTTAAATATGCATAATTTTCACTATTATTCTACAACAAACTCACACATAGCCAAATGAGGTGGTCATTAAATGTTTGGGGTGGCATTGTGGGTGATTATGTGATAGGGCCACACTTTTTTGAAGGACAAGTAAATAGTGCAGTATATTTGGATTTCCTTGAAAATAATTTGCCTACGTTACTCGAAGATGTTCCCCTTCACATTCGCAAACAAATGTGGTTTTTGCACGATGGTGCACCAGTCCATCACATTGTAGTAATTCATAATTATTTAAATAATCACTTTCCAAGACGGTGGATCGGAAGAGGAGGACCGATAGGGTGGCCAGCGCGATCACCGGATTTGACAAAAATTGATTATTTTCTGTGGGGTTATGTAAAAAACAAAGTATATAATGTGCCTGCAACGACAAAAGAGGACATGAAAACTCGAATCAGAAATGTATTTCAAGTATTGATGTTCAAATGCTGAGAAATGTGAGTCAGTCATTTGAAATTCGATTACAAAACTGTATTGATGTTATGGGAGGTCACTTTGAACAACTTTTATAATTATGTTTTAATTGTTTTGTTTGTTTTTGAGTTTTTTTGTATTCACACATATTATTTATGACTGTTGATAAAGAGTTTTTTTTATGAAAAACATTTAATGTTATAAAATATCGATAAATATTAACTTCAGGTATAGGGAATGCTTTATAAAAATGAAAGACTTGGAACAGATGATTTTACTGGTGATATAAAATATAGGGTGTCCCATTTAAATAAAATAAGAAAATCAAGGGTCTGAGTATTGAGTCTCCCTGTATACAATTAAACAGATAATAAAAATATAACTAAAAAAAGTATAATACATCATATTATAAAATTCGTGTGGGTTAAAAAAATTTTTTTTCTACAGTGTGTAATTGGCTGCTGGACGTTGAATTATGTACGATTCTCTCACAAAAATGTCAATTCCTTGAAAAGTACCCTATATAACATAGACAAACCATATATTAGAAGAATGGAAAAAATATGAGTAAACAGAATCTGAAATAATATACTGGGGTTATCATTAAAAAAAACATGTTTGGTTCGTACACGAGCTATGCAACACCCTGTATACCTCCCAATAATTTTAAAATGTTAACCTCAAACATGTCCATAATTTTCTTAATACACTTTTTTAATATGTCTTTCAACAAGGAAGATATCGAACTTTTCCACAAGATTGGTCCACCCTGTATATCTATAAGTACATATGATAAAAGTCTCGGAAATAACCCAGAGGCAGACTTAGTAAACCAACAAATTCTGATACAGAGTATGTGAAAATAATGTCTAAAAAAGTAAGCCAAAGTAAAACAAAAGTCAATTCATTAATATTAAGTAAGTTGAGGTGGCTAGTTATATATAATATGTATGAAGGTGTACAACGTATAACAATGAAATCGTTACATAAACGATTTTCGGAAGAAATGCCTGATGTGAAATGTTCTGCACCGTCAATTAATACATGGATTCGAAAAATTGGCTTTTGGTTTAAAAGAAGTAACAACAGACAATCTTTATTGGAACGAACATCAATTCAGTTAAAAAAAATGTCAATTTGAAAAACTTTAACAAAGAGATAGAGCTAGGTAACTTTAAACCTGTATTTATGGTTTGTAAAAAATGCAGACCTCATATTTAAAAGTCAAACAAAAAGCGGGGATTACCATAATAATAAGAACACAAAAAAAAATTAAAAAATGATTATCATCGATAATGCCAGTTATC